CACACACACACACACACACACACACACACACACACACACACACATATACACGCCCACACACATACACTTCCCCAATTATGCGACATATAACAATACGCAGAGGTATTGTAGCGTGCACAATGATGAAACGACAAAATTTTGTGATTATATAATTTAAACAAAAATGTCCAAAATAAGCGAGAAGGGAATGCAGGATGCACGCCCGTCCATTCATGATATTATTATTGTTATCATTGTTATTATTATTATTATCATCATCGTCGTTATTATTGTTATTACTATCATTATTGTTATCGCCACTATTATCATTATTATTATCGTCATTATTATTATCACTACTATTATTATTATCACTGTTATTACTATTATTATGATGATAAAGTGTATAAGTGCTCTGCAAAATTCGGTGCTATTACCTCGCTCTCTCGAATTCCTTCCATTATTTTTAGCACATGCGTCGAACCCTTGAACGACTGATTTGTTTGCAGCGAATCTAAACACATCTTGTTTTTATTATCAATATCAAAAGACCAAAATAAATCTGCTTCTAATAATAGACCAGAAAAACTGTACTAGGCGTTATGTATAAGGTGATATTTTACGGTGCAAACTGTCTTTCATCGTTCAGATGCAAGTAGCAGTAAGGTGATATTTTACGATGGAGTCTCTCTGTGTGTGTGTTTCATCCCTTAGCTGTAAACACAGACCGGACTATGCGGGCGGGTAGAATCGTCAGTACAGCCTGCTACCTGCCATGTACTGAAAGGACATGTAACTGATTTGCAAGATGGATATGTGAAAGAAAAACAGAGAGAGGAGAGAAAGTGCAGTTGCGTGAATCAGTTATCAAATGTGAGTTATCGCCCTCAAAAGGGAATGTGTCTGTTTCTCTTTACGCAGCATTTTGTTACCCACTTTCATTTCAGCAACCAGGAAAGCTGGGAGGCTGAAACTTTGGATATATATTCCTACCTCGTTCGTCATCCTCCCGTTCTAAGACCTTTCCCCATACGCGCCTGAACCCTGCGTACGGGACCACCAGTACTTCGAAAAAATTGCCAAGAGAAGCTGCTGCTTAGCTTCTCAGTGAAGCAATCTTCATTTCATAAAACAGTGGCCGAGTAGTCAAAAAAACTGCTGAATTATCGCCTTCGTCGAACATATCTACAGCTCAGGGACGGGCTCTACAGCATCAACAACACTAGCTTTGATGGATTTTTGTTACAGTGCCAAAAAAATGTATAAATTACTAATAATTTACTAGCAGTGACGGCTGCTGCTGCTGCTTCTTCCTTGAGCGACTTCAAGTCTGGCAATGGCAGGGCACCACTGATACTCTGCGATCGTTTCATTTCTGTAGAAAACATCTTGCGATAATTTAGAATAAAAAGAGGTGAAAACAAAATTATGTATTTTTTCAAATGTAATAAAAATGAAAATCCGAAAAAAATTAGAGAAAAATTACAACAAAAATAAAAGGATAAATAAGAGATATTAATTCGAGGGGCATTCAAGCAGGGGGTAAAAATTAGCGCAAACTCAAAAATGTGGAATTATTTGAAAAACATTCCTATTCAGGCTTTTATTCCGATTTATCTTATTCACCTTCCTTTTATTCCCTTATTTTTTACATAAACACGCATCATCTAAAATTAAAATTACAATGGTTGCATATGAGAAAAGTTACGTTTGAATGCGGTTTCGACGCCTTCACTGAACGGATCATCATTAGCTGTAGGCGAAGGAGCGTCTCGTGGTGGCGAAGCACCTGGATAGAAGCCCGACTTCAGCATTTCTTCCACTTCCGCACGAACTTCATCAATACCGGCACCAAATTTCTGGTATGCCTTAGAAAAAAATGAATGCAGTCACTATATGTATAACATGTCCTGTTTATATGGAAATAATTTAAGATTACTTAAAAAATGATCAAAAACTCGAGTCGGTTTGTTGGCAAAGTGCCAGCGGAATACAACAGAAAACTGAAAGTTTCGAATTTTGGGAAACTACGAGCTCACATCTTCCACAACGGTAGCATCCCGGAGTTGTAGGGCAAACGATCGTTTGGCGCGTTCAATTTCTCCCAGCAGATGTCGCCCGCGTTTTCGGTGTTTTGCTAGCGCC